GGAAGGGATTGGCTGCACGTGGGAATTGATAATGGAAATGTTCTGTGCTATGATTGTGATAGTTGTTAAGACTACAACATATAGTTATCAAAACTCCTTAAATTGTACACTTAAAGTGGGGCGGATATGTATGGAAATACAATAAAGCTGTCTAAAAAAATAAGTAAGTGAGAGTTCCAATCCTGAAAGAGCTCATTATCTACATAGATGGGCAGACATGGAAATGAACAAATTACAAATATGTGAAATCAAACACATCTTGCAGAATCAAACAAACTGGCATGGTAGGAAAAAGAAGATGTGGTTACTAACCAATTATGTTTACCTTACAGAGTCAAAGACATCTCACTGAGAGGTGACATTTAGACTGGCTCTCAAAAGATAAGGTGTTTCCAGGTAGACAAAAGACATTTCAGAGACGGAAATGTATCTGCAAAGCCACTGACAGGAGAGAGTCTAGCCATCTCAGGGGGAGGAGAAACTATGTGTACGGATCCTATTTCTATATGGTAAATGTCTAGAAAAACAGGGGAGAGGAGATTACTAAAAGGCTTTTATCAAGCTAGAGAACTTTGAGTTTTCTGTAAAAAATGGGGAGTCAGAAGATTTTCTACTTTCCTTTAAAGTAAGATTTCTCTACAATCAGGTAAGTTCGGTAACCAGTGTGGAAGATAAATTTTAGTTGCAGGATGCTGAGATCAGGGAAATGTTAACTCTGCTTCAGTGGAAAAGCAAGCAAGATATGATAGCTTAAGGCAAAGGGGAAAATAATAGATATGAAAGATATTTCTGAGGTTAAGGTGAGAGAATTTGGTGACAGACTGTAGGATCTGTCAGATTGTCAGTGACTTATTAAGATCACCAAGGACAGAGATGACAAAGTTTAAAATTGTGCAAATATAAAAATGAAGCATGTACACAGGACTCTAAAGAAATAACTGTTAAAAATGTCAAAATTTCAAGTACTGATCAATGTTTTCTCCCTTTAAAATAAGTGAGAAGGTACCTATTTTGAAGATATTTTCAAACTTCACTCAAAATGTTCATTTTTATTAGTACATATACATACACACTCACTTATTCATCAATTCCAAAAAATAATTGAACATTTATGCCATGCCAGGCACTATACAGACTCACCCAGGGAATGTTATCAAACTAAATAAATTCACATCTCTAACCTTACCATCCATTTCCACATTGGAAACTACCTGTATTTCACAAATATCTGAAGAAAAATTAAAATGCTGCTTTGTCTGGATATTCCACAAAACCATAATACAAAGAGAAGAGAGCATGTAATCAGCTAAGGATTTTTTATTTTTAGATAAAAATCAGTAACACAAATGTAATACAATATCTCCTTGCCTTTGTTATTTAAAAGAAAAAAAAGAATACCAGGAAATAGCCTCATGCTAGCATTTTGTCCAAAGGGGGTTAAAAAAAAAAAAAAGACAAGTGAAAAGGGAGGGGTGTTTATGACTCTATGGGATTTTACCACAGGAAGTTGTGAACATTCATTTGCACAAAGCTCTCACTGCAGTGTGATACGTGCTGCTTTCACAGAGCTAAACACCTTCTAAACAAAATCTTTGGGACGCAAGAATATGTGTCTTTAATGTCTCTTATAAATATTCATAAAAAACAAAATCTCATTCTGTAACAGTCACTGTATTTTCTGCACCATAAATAGAAGCTCCTGCTCAGAGAATTAATTTTCTTAATAGTTTGTGTTTACTCGGGATCTCCAGATTTTGATGGTTTGTAGACATTTTTGTGTGCCTATGTTTAATGAACATAGGCCAATGAACAGTATCTTCATTGTACTTGCCTTTTCCTTCTTTATTCTCCTGTTTCATAAATTTTTTGACCAAGTCAAAACCTATACTAAAAATATATACTTACCTCATGAGAAAATAATGGAAATTAACATAATTCAAAGTAAGGGCTACTAAGCAAGGGCATTCTACACATCGGCCTATCCACATATTGCATCAGAAAATAGTCTTAGAGAAGAGCCGTGGATTTTTCCAATAATATAAGCACTCATTACCAGTTTATAAGAAATTTCACAGGATAGTAAAAATTGGAACTTTGAATATAGAAGAAATTAAAATATTTTTCTAATGTGATTTTGATTTGAAGCACACAGCAAGTGTCTAAGGCACGGACTTCAGGTCAGACAGATCTTCAATGAACTTCCAGCTCTATCACTCAGAAGCCAACTTAAAGCACTTATTAATGTGCCAATGTTCCCAAAAAATCTATCTCACGATCCTTCCATTTAACCGTGTTTCCATGATGTATACATGTATGGAAATATCACAGGAAATCCCATTAATTTGTATCACTATTATGTTAATAATAATGACAATAAAATAATAAACTGTTTCCTTTAGCAGTAACTTTGTAGAGAATTTAGCTCTTTCTACTGATAGAAGACAAGCTAAAAATAAAAGATTAAAAATATTTCCTAGAACAAGAACTTAGAGATGGGAAAAAACTTAGGGATAAACCCTAGTGATCATTTACTGACTAGAGAACCAACCCCACAGTTTTAGAAATAAAGGAACTGAGGTTTGAGGAGGTTACATAATTTTTTCCAAGTTCAAATAACAAGCAAGCACATGAGAACATTTTAGAATTTACAGCTAACCCCATACTTCACATCATAGGAATGGCTGAAATCTAAAACAAAACAAAAAGCTGTATGAAGGTCAAGGTTCAAAAAAGAAGCAGCAGACTCACACTAATTGAATTCTTAATTATAGTACATTTAACTCAATTTGTACCTGATCCTCAACTGCTTCCTCCCACACTCCATTCCTACACACCCACTCCTCTAAGACACACCATCAATGAGATCAAAGAAATAAAGATCAAAGAACTAGCTCTCAGCAGACCTCTAATTACGATTATCTTACCAATGGATAAATTATCTTAGAGAAAATGGTCAGCATTCCCAGAAGGCAACAGGTACACTTGGCTAGCCCAGTATTTCCTTCAGAAGAGTGATATGCTATGTAGCAGTGGGTTGATCATGGGCTCTGGAACCCTGCTGGATTTGAAGGGCTGAAGTGTTATTTTAGACAAGTTACTAACCATCCCCTCCCCCCAGGGCCTCAGGTGCCCTATCTGAAGAAATGGGAACAACAGTACATCCTGATTTGAGTCATGTGAAAATTAAATAGATAATTTCAAAGAAGTACTTGGCATAGTTCTCAGGCACACAGCAATGCTCCACAAATGCTAGACCTACTAGGACAACTTCAGTGATGTGCCAACCCCTTTCCACACCAAGTGCATTCCACTGACTTCTGACAGTGCAGGAAAGCAAAATGAACTCTTCCTTATGTTCTCCCTTAAGCACTATGTTAGTCTCGCTCTTGTTTTCCTGGTCATTTGTTTCCCAAGTGACAGTTTTAAATTATATTCTAAAAATATAATTTAATATTCTAACACCATATTAATTTTTTAAAATTAATTGCAAGGATGCTAGAAATGTTTGCTTAGCAAATGAAATTTTCAGCCAAACTGATTCAGTTTCCACAGGTTTATTACTGCCCTGAAAGTCAATAAAAGGAATTAAGAAGTTTTATTTGACTTTTAAACTTCCCTATATGTATGTTGAAATTCTATATATTTCAATAGCATCAAAAAAAAAAAAAGAAATCAAATACCTAGGAGAACACTTAACAAATGATGACCTTTACAGGAGAACTACAAACATTGAAGAAAGAGACTGAAGACTACAGAAGGTAGAAAAATCTCCCATGCTCATGGGCTGGCAGAATCAACTGAGTAAAAATGGCTATACTACTAAAAGCAATGTATGTCAACGTAATTCACATTCAAATCCCAATGATTTGATTTTCTTTGATTTTCATCACAGAGATTAAAAATTCCCCTAAAGTTCATTTGGAAACACAAAAGACCGTGAATAGCCAACGCAATACTCAGCAAAAAGAGCAATGCTGGAGGTATCACAATACCCGACTTCAAACTATACTACAGAGCCATAGCAATAAAAACAGCATAGTACTGGCACAAAAACAGATATGAAGACCAATGGAACAGAATAGAGGACCTGATATGAATCCACGCAACTACGTAACACCTAGGAATAAACTTAACACAGGATATAAATGACCTCTAAAAGGAGAATTACAAATCATTGAAGAAAGAGACCAAAGAAGACAGCCTCTTCAACAAATGTTGCTGGGAAAAGTGACTATCTGCCTACGGAAAACTGAAACTTGATCCAAGCCTGTCACCCTGTACTAGTATCAACTCTAAGTGGATTAAGGACCTTAATATCAGACCTAAAACCCTAAAGCAAGTATAGGGAATTCCCTACTGGCAGTCTAGAGTTACTATTTAAAGTCACAGAAGCAATAAATACATCTTGAAGTACAATACTTAAGAGTTATTAGGATAGCTGAAGATGAAATATAGCAGAATAATTGAGAAATGTTTATGAAGTTAATTTCCCCATCTTCAAAGTAGCAACTCATGTCAATAAAGAAGATACATAAGTTAAGAAACAGAGGTGTAAACTCATTGTTTACAGAATAGAAGCAATCACCCAAAAGAACTAAGGACATAGAAACAAATAATATGAGAAGACAGCGTGGGAGGTAGGAAGAAGAGAAGGAAAGAATGAAAGGAAGAAGGAAAGAGAGAAAGGATGGGAGTCACTAGGAGAGAGGAAGGGAAGGGAGGGGAAGGGAAGGGATGGGAATCCACAGAATATACTTTCTGAGTTTAAAGTATCATAGTCTGTCTGTAATTTTCTTCTCTCTTGCTCCTCCTAGCAATATAACACTACTCAGACAAAAATAGGTTGCACTTTATAGTCTATGGAAAGAAAATTAAAAAAACAAAGCACATAAATTTAACTTCTACCTATGTAAATGGTGTTTTACATGACCCTGTTTTAAGTTCTAAGAATTCCAATGACACATTAATTTACTTTATCTTCAGGAAAGTTCCAGACTTACCATTAAACTTTTCAGCTTCAGGATCATTTACATTGATAGCAATTATTTTCCAATCTGTTTCACCCTCATCAATAAGAGCCAAAATTCCAAGAATCTTCACATGAATAACATCTCCACGAGAAAGAACCTTTAAAGAGAAAAATGTCACAATTTACAAGGCTTTGGAGCATAACATAAAAAAAAAAAATAACAGATTAAAAATACTACAGACGAAATATAAGTTTCAATAGTTAAAAACAATGTGAAAATACTCTTAAAAGTCCATCTTGCAATGTCCTCTTTAGAATTAAGTATCTTAAAACTTTCACTTCCACCCATGACGGAATTACTGATTGAAAACAAAAAAGTATTCTCTGGGAAAACTGGACAAAATATAAGAAATCACTTTTCAGATATTAAACAACAGGTAGTGCAGGACTGTGACTCCAGAGTGAAGTAAATAAATGAGAAGAGCCTGTGATTTGCCTTGGCTTTCTCCTCAACACACCTTCCAGACCATGGCCCAGGGAAGGGGAACCCAGGAAGAACATGGCAGCAGGGGCAGCGGGGACAAGAATAGTTTTTTAAAAACTGGGAGGATGAGGCAGCTGGAATTTGTTGGGCCATATTCTGGACATGAGAATTAACTCCAGAAATCTACACAGGGGCTTCTTTGAAACACTGATGAAATACTAACCTGCTTACACATGGGGTGAGCCCCATGAAGCCGAGCAAAGAATAACTGCCAGAGAACAGTAAAAGGAGTTCTTACCACCCAAAACTCTCATTCAACCATGGTCTAGAAGAAGTATACCTTAGTAGTAGAGCTAAACTAGTCCACAAGTAAAGGTAACTCAGGACTGCCCTAACAAAGTTTTTATTTTTCTTTTTTTATGTCCAGAAACAATCAAAATGATTCACAAGTAGCCACCTGCCAAAACAAATATTCTTTAAAGGAAGACAAAAGTCATTCAACAACTGAACAGTCATCACAACTAAATCTTGCCAATAAGCAGAAAATTATAAGCCTTAACCAGGAAAGAAAAACCATTATACAGAAGCAAATGACAGATAATGAATGGACAGACCAGGCCTTTAAAACAACTACTGCAAATATGCTCATAGATTTAAACAAAAACATAAAAATGTGGAGGGGAGAATTAGAAAATATAAAAAAGAGCATCTTTAAGATGCCATTTAAATTTTTTTGGGGGTGTGGCACTGGGCTTTGAACTCAGGGCCTCATACTTGCTAGGCAGGTGCTCTTACTGCTTGAGCCTCTCCACCAGCTAGATGGCATTTTTAGAGTTGAAAAAATACATTATCCAAAATGAAAAATCCTCTAGCTCGTTTTAACAACAAAACAGTCATTGCAAAAGGGAAAATTAGTGAACCAGACACCCCATCAAAATTAACAAAAAGAAAACCAAATTAAGACACATAATAATCAAACTGCTGAAAACCAGGGACAGAAAAAAATATTAAAGGCAGATGAGGGGCAAGATTACATATTAGGGTATAAAAATAAATGACAACTGTTGTCTTCTTTCAAAACAATGAAAGACAAAAGACAAGGAATTAAATCTTTATAATTCTTCAGGAAAAAGTGGATCAATCTAGAATGACTGTGGACTGGGAGAGACTTGCCAAGGGCAACAGGAAACCTTGTGAGGGATGGAAATGTTCCATATCTGCACTAGAAAGAGTGAAGGGTATGTGTGTGTGATATCCACCCAAGGTAAATGAACTTTATTTGTAAAGTGGAAACATTTTATGGAATACAATTCATATCTTAATGAAGCTTAATAGTTAAAAAGCCAACTGTTAAAATATTAGCAACTTATGTTACATGAAGAGCTACTAAGATGAAGAAAACCACGAAATGACTGAGATGAAAATGGAAGAAACCATGAAAGACAAATACAGAAGAAAAAAAAGAAAACAGGCTTAACGATATGAAAAGATGCTCAAACTCAGTCATAACATAACCATCTTGAGGTTTAAATAATATCACTGCTTAGTGTTCCCAGGACTCTCACACAACAGGCAGTTGTCTGACATCTCAATCCTCATATTTTGCTTTCCTCTATTTTGGAAGGAAATATCTCTGAAGAAGAAGTATCTCTGATACTTCTCAGATACTGAAGAAGTATCTCTGGCTGCCAGCTCTAAATTTATGAAGGGGATCATTTTTCCTATTCTATGCAAAGAAATCAGAAGTTGAAGTACACATTTGATTTCACTCTACTGAAAAACAAGCCCAGAAATTATAGATATTATGCAGCACAGGTAAATGTGGTGGGGTGTGCATTGTTCTATTACCAAGAAGATTTACAGATGAAAGGGAGTCAAAGACAGGCAGGGGACAGACAGACAAAGAAGAAGGGGAGCTGCCCTGTCCTCTCCTGACTGTCGCTATCTTGGAAGAATCTAACATTTGCAGTCTAAGTTTAACTGGTATTCTAATGACTACCTATAAAGTTTTACATAATAATTAATATGTACAATGAAAAGTTTAAAATGCCATTTTACTAAGTACAAATTTTTAATTTAAAAACTCAAAATCTTTGTATAAGAACATAATCCATGTATTTAAAAAATATTTTATCAAAAAAGTAGACAGTTTAAATCTGCTGCAATTTGACACTGAAAATTAAGTCATTTGTATATATAGAAATTTAAGATACCCAGTAGACCTAGAAACTCATCCCAAACAAAATAAAACCCTTATCAGTCATTATATAATCTAAACTTGGCTCCTGATGCAGGAAGAAAAGAGACCTGAGAATCCACTGAAATTGCTTCATGGTTCCTGTTTTACCACGTGTACAAGTTACTAGTGAAAAGTGAAAAATTAAAATATAGCCTTAAGAAAGAATGACAATAAAACAATTATTAATGTTAAAGATACAGATAAGACAGGTTTCATCAAATGCTTTAAAAAGATTTTAGGAGAAATTTAAAAACAGCAAGAAGTTGGCAGATGTTTGCTGTGCTTAAGAAAGCTATTTCAGTGATCCCTCAAGCTGCCAGCACCTACATTCCTTCTATATCCTTTCATTTTTACAGGTTTAGTTGGCTATAGAATTTCCTTGTAATCTTGAAATGTGAATACATGCTCCAGAACAAATTCCTTCATGAGTCAAAATTCAGCTTTACATTTAAAAAGTAAGGTATGTAAAACAAAGTCACTTTGTGTCCTGAAATTATTTATTTTGAGGAAAAAAACTATGATTTTGCACCATAAAGTTAAATTCTTTCAGAACATTTGCAAAGTGATCCTAAAGTTTTCACATACATATGCATGAAGTTGTAATTAGTTTACACAACAAAGTAGTGTGATTGCAGAAACTAAACTGAAATCGCACTTTTAGGAGAAGACACATAATTATATTAATCAGTCTCTCACATGTTTAACCTCTATTAAGTTTGCAGAGGCACTATATTAGGTACTGTGTATAAAAAAAACAGAAAGAAAGAATGGCTGTTCTCAAAGATTTACAGTCTTGTTTGGGAGATACACACTTCCCACCAGGATAGAATAATACAAGACAGGATGCAAAACGTGCTTTAATAAAGGTAGACAACACAAACTAAGCATCTGTCATCTCAGATAATAACAGCTGAAGTAACACGGCCATAACCTATATGGTCAGAATGGATATGAAGATATATGCTAAATCTCACAATTGTAGTGCCGAGGCTGGGGACTCAGGCTCCAGACTCACCTGGCATTTAACCCCAACTCTGCCAACCACCAGCTCCATGAGTTAACCTTGTTGGGACACAAGTTTATGTAAAACTGTATAATAAACATGCTGTTTCATAGGTAGCACTGAGAAATAAGTGACATAATTCACACAGAGTATCTCGCAGAATAGTTTACAGCTCCTCTCTAAGAAGTGATATTAAGATTTGGGTTAAAAAAGGGAAATCATAACTTTCTCCCCCTACCATTCTAGGTATACAAAAAAATGTTAGAGGGGGTTAAAAAGAAAAAAGCTTGCCCTCAGTCAGGCATGGTGGTGCACACCTATAATATAATCCCAACACTCGGGAGGCAGAGGCAAGAGGATGGTGAAATTTGAGGCCAGCCAGGGCTACACAGTGAGATCGTATCTCAAAAAACTGGAAAACAAAAATAAAATCAGGGACTTTCCCCTCAAGTATATCCTGAAGAATGAAAGACAAAGAATTAGATTTCTAAGTGACATTTCATATGTCACGTCCTACAGTGATGTAATTCTATAAAAGGCATGGAACTATCTTCTTCAGCATGCTTAAAGAAACACCAAACCCCAGCTTTCTTAACCTGCTCCTCTATGTCTTAATAGAAAAAGAAGTCCATCTTCATTATCTGTACTTATTGCAGGTGAAGAACTGAGCCTCCTCCACTCCATTGTTAGATTCCTATTTCACCTGCAAAGAGTTTCCTGGACGTACAGGATGCTCTTGGTTCAGGAGATGGTAACAGGAGACACATGGGCTTCAACATGGGCCCCTCTGAACTGATCTTGGCACCAACTCACAGAAGCCACTCAGCTCAGCTGCCCTCTTTACATGCCTGTAGGGGTGAATATGAAAGCCACATCTGCGAGGGAAATTTAACAGCAACACTGTTCATAGTAGTGGCATTAGGAACAAAGAGTTTCCCTTTATAGTTTGGTCTTAATTGTCTGAAAAACTGAAATGCTGCCTCCTTACCCCATCTGTCTCCTCTCCCTACCTCCCATACATTTCACCAGCTGTAATCATAAAGTATTTCAGGTACTTGACCTCAAATCTGAACTATGGGTTTCTTAAATTCTAGATTCCCAAGTCCAAAAGGAAAACATGACAAGTACTTATAAAAATATGGGTGATATTTATAGCTCTAAATATGTCATATATCAAAACTGAAGTACATTGCAGAAAGATTTCAGTTATTTAGGTAAATACCAATTTCTTCAGTCTGAATCTTATGAAAAGAAAGGTGGGTATGGATGGTGGTTCTCCATTCTAAAGAGGGCATCAATAGAGAAATCTGGTGAGAAGGAATCAAGTGAACAAGGATCTAGAACTCTCACAGAGGAGGAACAACTACCAGAACTAGAGTAAGAAGCTTCGAGGGCATAGTATATGGGACCAAATATAAGATCCTTTATAAAA